CTTAATATCCAACCTCCAGCTTGGAGGGATCCATACATATATCCACTGATATATGGAACCTGCAGTTTAATCGCCGATCCGAACAGCGAACCGCGAAAAATCGCGTATACGAGGCGCAGATAGGATTGAACCCGGATCTACAGATGATCGCGAGTCAAATTGCACTGAGCGGTGAGTGCACTGAGCACTTGGCGCTCCCATACGCTATACGCAGTGCGAGTAAAATTACGTTTAATGCCTTTATCACGATTACCGTCAAATCGATTTCATCGAAAATTGTGCTATCGCCAAGTGTCATGTACACCGTTTCAGGTGTGGTTCAGCAATCGCAGGGCGCGACTCCGCAAACACACCGGTAACATACAGCACCCGATGACGAACCTGCAGTTGACGACCTGCCAATACGCCGCGGCTAGTCACGAGCTCGTACAGGTACCGCAGGTACCACAGATGCCGGGCGGAATACCGCAGGTACCCACCACGTTGCATCACAGCCCGACCACGCTGCACCAGGCGCCTAACAGCGTTCACCAAGTCTCCGGCAGCACCGCTGTCGCCCAAATGGCGAGTACAATGGCTCAGGTACCCACTACGAGCAGCGCCCTTCAGGGACACGCAGTCACCATTTCCGGTCATATCGGCTCGCTTCCTGCACACGCAGCCTCCGTGCAACTCGCGCAGGTATCAGCAATGCAACCACCCGTCGCACACGGTGCGCCGTCGCTTTCGCACAACGCCGGTGAGTACTTCATAAGATCTTGCAAGTCACCGGGTTTTCTTGGAAAAGTCAGAAAACTATACTAGGTAGAGGCAGGTATAGGCGGTATAAGGCTGTGTTCTACTTGAGATGCTCGCAACGTTCTTGGAATCATTTCAGCCTTGTTGTTTAATATGTTAAAATATGTTGAACAAAAACAATGTTAAAATATGTTAAACAAAAACAACGTATAAAAACAAATATATTAATAAATATAGGCTGCAAATTTTTGAATTTGAAATACATTAAAGTGCCAAAGTATAATGAATGCCTAAATTCGAAATCTTACATCTGCGATTTCGCCAAGATACATTAACGTTAATACGCCAAGATATATTATTGTTAATATTTTTGTCTATTTTGTCTTTGACTTTTAGGTAACACTGATTGGTCCAGGGCGCAGTTCGGGTGGGGACAGCTCAATCATTTTCAGAGCAGCGATTATGGCAATCATCAGCACGGGAGTTCGCAGAGTACTCAGTCTTCGAGTACTCCGAATACGGCGGGGACAACGCCAGAATGGTATGACCAAGGCTACGATTACGCTCAGCACACTCAGCTTAATTATCACCGTAGTATGGGTGGAATATTTTAAGATTTTAACTAATCAGTCGATTAGTTAAAATCTTAAAATAGGTAATCTCTGTTATATAGAGAGATGGAATACCTATCTACGTTAGACTGGAAAGCAAAAAAAAATTTTATTTTTTAATCGGTCTCTCAGCTCAAGAGCTTCTATTTCATGTCAAAAGAACCCCTAAATTTTTATTAAAAAATATTAAGAGGTAATTATTAGAGGTCGTTAGTGAGCGATTTTTAAATCAAAGTTTCGATTTTCTTTAAAACATGTCTGATGCAAAAATGACTTAATCCAGATTTTAAGTATGATACTGTATGTCTTTTTGATCTCTGAACACGATGCAATAATTTATTTAGCTCTATGATATACGCCTTAAGAAATACTGCCCGATTAATGTGAAAAAATGTCCAAATTTAGAGTTCAAAGTCGATTTTAGCAAGGTTCCAAGTGTTCAAATGGATTGTTATTCCCCTTAAATTGTAGGTCTGTTTACCCAGAACAAGATCCAGTTGGAATTTTCCCGGAACTTCCTCCTTTAAAAATTTTATTTAACTGGACTAATATAATAGAATATTTTTTGTATTATACCAATTGAATATATGATTTTTGACGAATATTTGATAATATTTTCGATAATATATTACAAATTATATGATATTGTCAATTATGATTCCATTATAATTCCATTCCTATTTTTGTTATATATGATTCCATTCTTCCTTATTTTGTATAGGTAGTTTATTTCAATTACTTAAATTATATTTTTATTATTATGTACTCATTTCATTTTCTAATAAACAATTTTTGATTGTCAAATTGAGGCATTTCATTTGAGGATGTCAAGACCACAAAGCGATATACTTTAGAACTTGTAAAAAAATTTTTTCTATCCTTAAAAACGTATTAATAATCCAGTTATATGAAACTTTTAACCTTGTAGGAGGTTCCGGGAAAATTCCAACTGGATCTTGTTCTGGGTGAACAGACCTACAATTTAAGGGGAGTAACAATCAATTTGAACATTTGGAACCTTGCTAAATTCAACTTTGAACTCAAAATTTGGTCATTTTTTTCACATTAATCGGGCAGTATTTCTTAAGGCGTATATCGTAGAGCTAAATAAATTATTGCAACGTGTTCAGCGATCAAAAAGACATACAGTACCACATTTAAAATCCGGATTAAGCCATTTTTGCATCAAATCAAACATGTATTAAAGAAAATGGAAATTTTGATTTAAAAATCGCTCACTAGCGACCTCTAAATCTTAATATTTTTTAATAAAAATTTAGGGGTTTTGGCATGAAATGAAAGCTTTTGAGTTGAGAGGCTAATTAAAAAAAAAATTGTTTTCTTATCAGTCTAATTTACATATATTAACTATATATATATATACTATTTATGTTATATATATATTATATATAT